ACTTTATACAGAGCCATATTATCAACATAAACCTTAAAAAATATCCAGATCTGAAAAAATTCAAGAAATTTACAACGCTCAATAATAAAGAAATCATAATTAAAGGTAATATACTCACTTCGTCAAAGGGATTCAAACACAATTTCAAAGTCAGGATCCTAGAGAAGACATTTTTCAAAAGTTTTGCTCCGTATATTCCATTTGGTACAGATATTTGCATTTTCATTATTGAAGAGCCATTGACTGGCATTCCTCAAGAGAGAGGAATCAAAAAGTTCAAAGTATCGAATACACTGACGGTAGGGGCCAATGAGGGAACATCAAATGAAAATCCTCAATTTCAAAATAACACAACAACGAGTAATCATCTGCCTGCAAGTTATGAAGAACTAGCATCCGCTTTTCCAATACTCTCAATATCACTTGGATCCAAATTCAACGAATTGTTTGAATCGTTCAATGTAGAGAGTATCAATAATAATATGGAGTTGAACGATCAATTCATAGATATCATGTCAAATGGTAGCAAGATATTCAATTCCCTTTCAGACAACATATACCGCGATATCATAAAAAAATTCCCAGGCATCCAGTTACATCAATGCATATACTCTTATATCGAAACCAGAATTTATGACAAATTTTGGGCCATGTTCGTTCATTTGAATGCTAGCAAATCAGACAGCATAATCAACAAGTCTTATGAAAGTGTTAGGAACATTAGTATAACCCAAGTTGGTCTTCCAAATCCTGATGGTTTACAAGGCATATTGATAACGCTTGAGAAAAGAGTGAAGTTGGCGAGTGAACAGTTTTCTCAATTGAATGTTTCGAAATCTAGTCAAAAAAAATGTGAGATACTAAATCAGACTTTCAAAACCTTATCTGAAGGTACAACGCCAGATACAATGAGCCCACTTTCAACTATCGATGCTGATACATTAATTTCTCTACTCGTTATGGTTATTCTAATTTCGAAAGTTAAGGATCTCAATACTCACCTAAACTATATAAAGAAACACTCTTATTCTTCAGAATTTGTTGAATCTGGGTTTCAAGGGTATGTGATATCAACCTTTGAGGCTACTCTTAACTACTTGGATAATACTCAAACACTGCAAGAATTCATCAAGTTCTCTGAAGATAATTATGAGTGTTGGAATCTTATCAAATCTGTATCGTCCGACTATAATGATAATAATGTTGATAATGATTCAAGCAAAGATGAACTACTAATTGATAAAGTTGCCGAGCTGTTACAACCGTATGAGAGTGGTGTGGGTATCCCCTATGATTCTGTTCTCAGAAGTAGAACATCTCAAGGAGAATCACTTCTAATGCTTTCAATACTACAGAATAATTGTCGATTGTTCAAAAGAATCATTGACTTTGAATATATATTCACTTTGGATGATATATTAGAGGACAGGTCCCTAGATGGTGCCTCATTATTAGTTGCAGCTTTACAATCGAAAAACGTACCCATTATTGACGAGATTGCTAATATCATATTGGAAGCTGAGCCAACCGAATTACAGCAGTATTGCAATAGTAAAGACAAATACAATAGAAATCTTGGTCATTTTTTGTTTCATCGCTATGAATTGATACCCAAGTTTGGCAAATTTATCAACTGGACGGATAAGGATAATAACAAACAAACACCTCTTTTTTCTATAATTAGGTGTTACGATCACCCTAATTATGAAGACTTGGTGGTAGTCGCACTTAAAACTGTCTCCATGTGGTATGAATCCATGAACAAAGCTTTCGATTATAGGGATCATATCGATGGTAAGGGAAATACATTGATTCACTCTATTAGAGATGGTACTAGCTTGAAATTTTTTCTTGACAACTTCCAGAATATCAACCCAAACGAATTGAATTTTAACAATCTGAGTCCTCTCATGCAATTTATCAAGTACAATAAACTTTCGAATATCAAAGAGTTGATCAAAGATGAAAGGCTCGACTTACTGAAGAATGATCAATATTATTATATGACTGCTTTAGATTATGTGAAGGTGGATAAGATCAACATGGCTAAGCTATCTGAGGATGCTTTCAATAATCTGAGAAACGATGATTCAGGTAACGTCAAAGTTGGTTCTGAGCCTAATGATGATGTCAATAGAGAAATAATGGACGCTGTTGACTCGGAATTTGTATTAACTTACTTACCAATGGTTGATGGGAGAAGTTTTGGTATAGTCAGAGCCAAATTTGATATAAACCATGAGTTACTTCTATATTTTAGGACTGTGAACCAAAGCAGTACCGATAATGAGAAATCTTCACAGTGGGTAACGGTTATTCGCTCACTTGCTGACTTTCTCAAACTGATTAAACTCTTGAAACTCAAGCATCCTAATTCAATCATCAACTCTAATGATAATTGGTTCACAAAATCTTATGAGATTGGTGATCGTGCTAATGTTGACTTTTCTAACAAGTTGAAGATAAATAAGAGGTTGATGAGCTTGAACATTTTGCTAACATGTATCTTGTTCAACCACGAATTGGTTGGTGATCCTTTAATTTGGGATTTTATAGCTACGCAAAAGCCATTGGATGAGGTTAAGTTACTGAAAGAGATCAAAAGCGATTTCAATGCATCACGATGTCTGACGGTTACTTCTGATCAACTGAAGCCTGAAGAAATAGGCAATTACAAAACATTTTTGAGGTACTCTGGGAATGAATTGACTGAGTTCAAAGCTCTTTTAGAGCGACTTTACAAGATTTCAGTATTTGTTGATATTAAAAACAAAGATCTTCAATATGTGGTAAGGCATTGTTTGTTATTTGCATCTGGCTCAAACAGGATAGATTCAATAGATGAAAATTTAGAATATACTTCAGTGGCTAATCTCAAACACATACAGTTTCTTTCTCAAACTATGGATAAATTTGCATTTGATAGTACTAACGAGCTGTTCATAAATTCGATCAAGTTTCTGAGAAACTCAATCCATGAGCTAGTACACTCATTGGATTCATTTGTCACAACCAAGATAACAAAATGGTGGGACTTGTACGGTGAAATCAAGGCAATAGATCAAGAGTTGAAAAAGATTTTGAAAATAGAAAATCAGGTATCGGTAAGTAAAAGTAACGATAATGATTACATTGCTAAATTGAACGAAGCTTTGCTGGACATTGGGAATNTTCTCGGCTCAATAGATGCTGATATTATCAACGATCTCTCGGCAAATAATTCGATTGCACAAGTGAATCCTAGTCGATTGATCTCTACCGGTGGATCGGCTGGAGTGGGTAATGCTGAAATTGTTTCAACTTCGTCATATTTTATTGGAATAATTGAGGCCAGACGTCATAGCTTCTCAGATAGATTGATTGAGACTTATAGAAAACTTAGAGCTGAAATCATTGAATTAGATGCGGATATCAAGAAAGGGTATGAAAATCTTTGTGTAGAAATCAGCAACTTTTATCCTTACAAAAAGGATTTCATCAGGTACATGTTCAAACAATTAGCTAGTACAAAACTTAATGAACAACGTCTGCAGCTTCATAGTTTGAGGAAAGGATTGAAAAATTTCAGAGTATGAATGGAGCTGTTATATCTGGTTATAGGTTTTACTTAGATCGCAAATATATATAGGTAATTGGTATTACGATACATTAACTATTGAGAGTGAGTAAAATATAAAATTTTCTAATTAATTAAGGCTTACCAGACCCACCCATGAATTGTTTAGCAAGGTTCTGTAACATTGGATTATTCATGATATCTTCTAAGCCATTTCCACCTTCTTCTCCACCACTACCACCAAGACCTAAACTCTGAGCCATCTCCTTCACTTTTGGATTTGAGAGTAAACCATTTAAGGCATCAGGATTTTGCATCATTTGTTGAGCAGCTTGCATAACTTGAGGGTTGTTCATCATACCTGCTAAACCTCCTAAGCCACCAGCTCCACCAGCTCCACCTCCAAACATACTGGCTAAGTTTGCAAAGTCTGGTAAGCCACCGGCACCGGCACCAGAATCGGCTGTTGCTTCTGATGTTTCTTTGCTCAAAGAGTTGCTTTCAGATTGTTCTTGAACTTCTGATGATCCAAGAGAATCAGCAAGCTTTTGAGCAACTCTTTTCTTGGCAGTTTCAAAACCTCTCTTCATAGCATCTGATGGAGTTTCACCCTCAACATTCAACCCTTGTTCGTAGGCCTCAAGAGCACCTTCTGGATCACCGAGTGCATACTTGGCTAGTCCCAATCTTGACCATGCTTTAGCATAAGTTGGTTCAACCTTGGTAGCAGTTTCTGCATCTTGCACTGCCAATTCATGTTGTCTGACAGAAGAGTAGGCAGCAGCTCTATTGGAATAGAAAACAGCGTTCGTTGGGATTAAATTGATAGCTTCAGTATACTTTTTGATTGCTTCATCAAAATCTTTTCTTGCCATTGCTCTGTTACCCTCCAGCTTCAAAGTCTCGGCTTGCTCTTTTTTACCAGCTTCTTCTTGGTCAATATGAATTGGAACGGTGTCACTTGATTTAGCGGTCTGCACTGTCTCTGTTGATGAAGCTTTATTTGATGACAATGCTTCGGCAAGTAGCTGCTGTAATTGACTGCCGTTGAACTTAGAGTCAATTATGGATTTCAATGATTCAGTATTAACATCGTATGCATCAGCGATACTTTCGATGGCAAATTCGATAGATTCACGATTATCTTCAGGGATGTCATCTTTTGCAAGAGAATTCTTCAAGAAACTTATGATTAAAGCAGACACTTCTTGGTTTGAGAGAGACATATTATTATAGAGGTTCTTGTTCAAATGAGATATGATTTGATTAAACCGTTTATAATCTTCAAATGTTCGTGGTAATAAAGTCTAGGGTTAATAAAGGAACTTGGACGTCTTTTGATTCAACATTGTGAACCCACTAGATGTTCTAGAAAGATTGTCAGTTCGCCCTCGTCGACAAACAACGGCAGTGCAAAAAGCTTGAAGCAGCACAAAAAAATAATTGCATAAGACAGGGTTCGAACCTGCGTCTCCTCACGAAGAGTAGAACTTGAGTCTACCGCCTTAGACCACTCGGCCACTTATGCACTTCCGTAAATTTATTGATAGTAGAATGAATATAAATCAAACATCGACGCCGTTTGCGTCGATCGGCGCGTCGATGGTTGAACTTTGAAGGTCTGTGGTTAATAGTTAATCGTTGATCGGCGCGTCGGCGGTCGATGGTCAATGGTCGATGGTCGATGGTCGATGGTCGATGGTCGATAGTCGATGGTCGATGGTCGATGGTCGATGGTCGATGGTCGATGGTCGATGGTCGATGATCGATGGTTGAGTAGATCACTGTAGCATGAGTTGCTATTGAAACCCCAGAGATATCACTCATAAGATTGCAGCGTATCCTGGGGTGCTGCCCGTATCAAGAGCACAAATAGAACTGGTTCAAAAGATGAACAAGAGTTAGCAAAACAAGTCGATGATTCATCAAAGAAGAAGTTCATAAGAGAATCACAGTCGTCTTATAACTCATCTGTGTTATTTGTGCCAAAGAAAGAAGGTAAAATGCGTATGTGCATTGATTTTCAACTATTTTTTGATGATTTGTAAAATAGTTTCTTACTTTTTTGAGAAGCAATTGAACTCAAATGATTAATTAACATCATATTGCCAATATCTGGTTTGTTTTTATACGTGCATATTCATTGTTTCGAGTATCGTTGAGCAAAGATGAACATCAGATAACGTCCATCCTCGAGAATCACCAATCTTGATAATCTTTCAATCCAACCTGAACGTCATACCGGTATGCAAGGTTCCAGCTGTATATTCTCTCAAATCAAGGTGTACATCATTCAACCAACCATAGTAAATGATTCTTCCACTTATAAATAGTCGTAGACCGAAATCAGCTTCCTCTTGGGGCAATACGAAGCAATAAAGTTTCTTTTTGTTTGACTATCCACAAAGGCTCAAACCATTGATATTCAGTAAAACAAAGTACATTAGAAACCAAAATTGCTGCTGATAGACTTACGTTTCCATATGTCGACTTGTAATGCAATCATTAAATTTCTTAACAACTGAAGAACGAATGGTGGTAAACATTTAGCATACTCTTACTCATCTATGATAAAATACATGTTGACTGACTTACTTCTGTTTCATCATATTGATCATGTTGGCCACTATAATCTCTAATTAGCAGATTACAAACACCCCAACATATACCAATACAATCTACACTGTATAATAAGTACTTATATATATATGTCGTGGAGTGGTTAGCTTCCCTTTTGATAACTTCGAATTACCAACATACTTAGCACTTTGAGAAAACCGAATCTTAAATTTTTTGAAAAACCGTGCTCAAAATATTACACCCTTACACACCTAAATATTATTTCACCGCCTTTAATTCAGAAATTGAGATCTTGTAAGCCTCTCAGGTTTTAACGTAATTCAACATCATCAGCATCATGAATAAAGTCTGTAGGAGATACAGCTTTCGAGTGAATCTTCGGTGATCAAATAGTATCCAGTTGAGAGTAATTGGTTTTAGGGCAGAGTGATGAGAACTTCACGCAGATCATATGATTGATATTGACATACATAACTACAGTAATCTGCACTACTGTGTGGATAATGAACATAGTCACAACAATATTTTTTTATTAATAGATGTATTGAAGGATGAGTGTAATTATAAAATAAAGCATCACGGGTATCACCTCCACTTTGTTGGAGTGCTGTGATGATTGCAGACAGATGGCACCGTCTTGGTGTGACTAAAAACCTTGACAACATCGACAAACTATAGGCATTTTCATACCTAACTGTACTAGCCAAATAAGTCAACGTACTGACTAGTGACCTATATTTGCTGTGATCTTTTTCATTCAACGATGGAGAGTTCTCATCATATAAACGAATTTCTTTGGCCAATGGTGTGAGCCGCTGTTCTTGTGTAACTCGAATATCAAAGTCTTTCTGCAATTCAACTGAATCATTCATCGAAACCACAATTTTGGCATCTTCTTTCTTTATACTCATTTCTGAAAACACATGAGAAAAACCCATTACCTTCATCTTGAACTTGTTTCATGAGTTTGTACTAAACATTAGCTAAGGCTTAACTTTTAGCAGAAATGATTATATCACATAACCAAACATCTTTTTTTCTAAAACAAACATGGATCTAGCACCAAGCAACTGAAACCTTGATTTACCAATTCACTTGAAACAGTTTCATGTCATATTGCTGGAGCTTGCTTCAAACCATATAGACTCTATTTCAATTTCCAAACATCACCAGCTTTTGTCAAGCAGCCTCTAGGTGGTTCAAAATAAACTTGATAATCTATCATCCATTCAAGAAAGCATTCTTAGCATACATTTGTATCAAAATATTATTATTGATTACCGTTACTTCCAACGAGAATCTGAATGTATCAAAACTCGAAACTGGAGCAAATGTGCTAATATACGTAACTCCCAATCGTTTTTTGAGTAGGACCTTTAGCAACCAATCTAGCCTTGAATCTATCCTTCTTGCTTTACATTGAACACCCATCTACCTTCGATAACTTTCTTATTCAGGTGGACTCTTCCTAGTGATAGTTTCAAGCACTCGATTATCAAGCATTGATTGTATCTCCTCATCAATTGCCGTCATTCATTGATCTTTCTCTGGCGACTCCAAAACTTCAGCAAAATCTATTGGCACTTTTGTACTTAAATTCATCAACTAACAAATTAGCATCTGCCATGTTAATGTCCTGATCTTCTCTGGCGTCTTCAAAATCACGAGAATGAATCTATCCACTCTGTTGGATAGAGTGATGTACCTCCCTTTATCAACAAGTTTACGTCTTGTATGCAATTAGTATCTGTGCGGAGCTCTCTTTCCCCACAACTCCGTGTTCTGCCAACATCCCGTGTCAATTAGCCATCTTCTTATCTCTAAATTCCAATCTCTTAAATCTATTCTCAAGCATTACTATACAACTATTCATACAAATATACACTTCATTATACTCAAAATATACATCTTCTACAGATCTATCTTCCTACAGATAGTTTTGATAACAAAGTCTATTATTGGTAACTCTTTAAACGATAAAATGTAAAGCTTTATCAGTTAATCTGCAGTTCAAAATTAATTAATTAATTAATTAATTAATAGAACGATTTTAGCAGCATTTCTTTTCTTTCTCAGCCGTGATACCCCTCTTATCAGTGCCCACTATAATTAAACTTTCAAATTAAATTTTGTTATTTTCAACTTAAACCATACTAAACTTCCAACCAAATTATTGTAAATTCTTATCAGTTGACCTGTAATTTAAACTTTCATAGGCTATAGGGAAATTTGAGCGGCAGCTCTTTGTAATTCGTCATCATCCCACTCTTATCAACGCCCATAAATTTTGACCTTCTTAAATATATATGTATGTTTGAGTTTCCACTTTTTCTTACTTTGTATCTCTTGTACAGACAATCTGTAGTCAAAGACCAATCATTATACTCATGTCACCAAGAAAAAAATCAAGAACTTTATCATTACCGAAAGTGATTCAACAAATCAGTGATTTAGTTGCTTCGTATAAGAAGCAACAAGCTGAAAAAGAGAGTCTGTTTACCACAGACGATGATGACACCGACAATGATGAGAACAACACATATATCGATGATGAGGACAACGACAACGATGAGAACAACACATATATCGATGATGATGAGGTGGCGGACTCCAAGCATATTTTTGTATCACCTCCAACACCTCCAACAAGTGCTCCACCATCCACTTTCTCTTCTCCATTAACAAGAAAGAGAAAGAATTTCTTTTTGGAGGATGATACCAACAATAATGATGTTAACAAGATACACGAGGAAAAGTCTATCAGTAAGAAGAGAAAATCTTTCATTATTTCTTCGTTTTCAAATGATGAATCGCGTCGTGAGTTATTTAACTCTTATGCCCTTGGGTTTATGTCAGTGCTGTGTGATGTTTCGAACGCTGTTCCAATCGCAACAACGAATTTTTATAAACTTAATTTCAATGGGTTTATCATTGAACCAAAGAAAAAATGTGATAAAGAGGTGAAACCTATAAGCATAAGCTTGATTCGGACTCGCCAACTCCTGTGCTATAACCCAGGTAATACGTTGGTGATTGGTCCATCTGGTAAGATTGATAGGGGTAACAGCGAGCTCAAAAATTTCGAGTTCAAAGATCTTATTCGTATCAATGGTAAATTTGCTCCAGCTCTCAGAAGAACATCTGTTTATGTTCAACAGTGCTACTTTTTTGAAGTTGGGTATTGCATAAGTGATAGATGTGGTCCGATGATCGTTGGTAAAGCATCGTCTTTATCTTGTCCAGATCAGTACTTTAAAGTGTTCATCAACTGCAACACACTTGCCAACAAGTTCAACATCGGTTCAAGCTTGTTCATGTTGTCGACAAAGAGAGCAGACTTACAGCAAATTAAGTTGATGGTTCGGACATGCCTTCTCAATGATAATGCCATTTTCGACTGTATTATTGAACTTACCGAGATTCACTCAACTGTTACACACCTTTTTCCACATTTTAAAGTGGATAATTCTATTGGTCCATTGGCTGATCGAAATCTTTGCCTCTCAAATATCATGAAAGATTTGTCGTGAATTCTTACTTTCCATAGCTTATTAACTATACACTATCTATCTATCTATCTATTGCTTAACTAACTTAACTTATCTCTCTATAAAAAGTAAACAACAAAAATCCAAAATTCCTGCCGCCTAACAAAATTCAGAAATTACCCTCGCTTTGACCACCTATTATCAAGCTGGCACTTTCAGTATAAACAACCACTTTCTATACATCTTTACTCTTCTTTGTATCACACTCCACCATCTGTACTTATCATATATGATGTCCATGTATATACTTCAAATCTAACAATGCATTATCTCGAAGTTTTCACAAAAAAATGATCACTCAGTAGATTATCTTACAAGCATCTACAACGTTGTATCTTCAACATTATCATACTACTGTTTACAAACATAGTGGATATTCTTTATCATCAGTGGTTTAATT